CCTAATCGGCTGTTTACGTTGACTTTGACTGTCCTTAGCTGTCCCCTTTAAGCTGAAGTAAGTTGACACAAAGGAAGCAGTTCAAGATCATTCCTTTCTTGCACATACGTTTTTGGGTAGCTGCTCTTACAGAAAAATGTGATTTACATTGCAGTCATGTTTCAGTTTAAAGGCTGTTATATCAGTATCACTTTTTGAACTTCAGAAACACAGGTTGCTCTTAAATAAGTCTGCATGACTAGTGAGTCATAGGCTATTGGTGGTGCCCTTGACTGGTTGTTTTATCCCATCTCTCACCTCAGAAATCTGACTCTTCAGCTGAGATGCATTTTATATTATCAGTAGCCTTATAACTAATATAATAGTAATTCTTTTTTTTATTATTAATTTTTTATTGTGAAATAAAGGGATAGGTGATAGCCAACTAAATGGATTTTAAATTCAGAAGATCTTGGTGACATAATTCCTAAATCTGTGCTGCAGGCAACATCTATAAAATATTTCTCACAGGCCTCTGCTTTTGAAACCTCTAAGATAGAAACATGGAGTTCTCTAATGACCAAGGATTGTTCAGTGGTAGCTTCTAGGTAGGCTGTATTCAGTGCTAGGTATTTCAAGAATTGCTTTTTGATTTATATGACACTTGCTTCCACGAGATATCTCCTACAATACCACAGTGTACTAATCACATACACTGAAGCCTGTATGGAAATGTCCAAAGAAACAGGATGCTATTTACCTTCCATGAACTAAAGTTTTTTGACAGGTCGTTGTCTGCGTGGCTTTCCTGTTCCACCTTCCTCCTGTTCAGATAGTCCGTCTGTGGAAATTGCTTATGTTGTCCAGGCATAATGGATGAGCAGGGCATAGTTGCATGTGTGCAACAGGCAGGTGATAGTAATACCTGTACAGCACAGTGGCGCCTGTCTTAGGCTGAAGTTCAAAGGCTTTTGACTGTGAGGTGGCAATAGATCACTTCTATGTGGCATTTCCTATTGCTGGGCTTCAGGAGTGATCTAGAAACTGGCAGTAGTATTGCCAATGTATGCCTGGCACAAGGTAAAGAACAGCTTTGGCCTTGTGCAACTTAATTTTTATAATCTCCCTGTGGTTTGGGAGGAACAAGAGGTAACATGACATTCAGAGATATCTTTGTGCTTTATACAAATGCTTTCTACAAAACATGGGGGAGGAGAAAGCGTGAGTGCTTTTTATTTCAAGCCAGAATGAGAATATTAGAGTTTCAGGTATTTTAACTTCGAGGTCAAGGATACTTTGGGCATCTGAGCTTTTTGGGTTATGTGGTTGTTTTGTCTGTGCTCTGTAAATGTTTGCAGTCTTTTATTCTTCTGAAAGAAGAAATACCTTTAGGTATTAGGTGACTTGAACAAAATTCTCACTGCACGCAGCATTTAATGACTAATTGCACATAATGAAACAAACTTAAATATTTGCAGGGGTCACCATCTACCAAGAGGCGGGGGCAGATGTTACAGCCCATTATTGAAGGTGAAACTGCCCATTTTTTTGAAGAAATTAAGGTGTGTAAAGTGCGTTTTTAAAAAATACTTCCCACCACTTGTAATCAAGAACTACAAATATTTCATGTTTGTTTTGAATTTCTGCTTTGACCTTCAGGAAGAAGAGGAGGAAAGTGATGGTTTGTCTACAGACCTGAACGATATCTTAAAAACTGCTGTCCAAACACAGTCTGTTTTAAGCCCAGTTGAAAACTCTGAATCTGATGTTGAAGATGGTCAAGAGAAACTGACCCGGGACCTTAGGCTGTCAAGCACCCGCGCCGCTTCCATGTGTGTAAAATTAAGAAATGGCTGATTCCATTCTGGAAGTTGCAATTATTGCCCTTGCAGTTACAATGCCAAATATGTGGTGTTGGGTGGGAGTGACACGTTCAGCACTTCTTAGGAAGTGTTTGGCTTGAACAAGTGTTCTTTCCTCTGGCGTGTCTGACTAAGATCTTTTTGTATTTGGTGAATTGTTTAGTTCTTCTAAACCTTCTTCAGCCTTACTTGAGCTGTGTAGACAGCAGAAAATTTACACCCTTTTATTGCATGTTCTTTATGAGCAAGACAAATTTATTATTAGTGTAGATGACTCAGTTGGTTTTGAGTACGCTTTGAAGAATTTAAATTTTATTGCATGACCAACAGTATTTTTGTTTCACTTGAAATCTTCAGGCCTGAATTATTGGAGCAACTGTGGAAAGCCAGAGCTGAAAAAAAGAAGCTACGTAAGACATTACGAGAATTCGAAGAGGAGTTTTATCAGCAGAATGGAAGGTTTGTTTAGCACAAAACCAGATGCTGGACAGCAGCCTCGTTTTGTAGCCAAGTTGTTGTTGTTTTGTTTTGGTTTGTTTTTTTTTCCAACTTTCTTTGGAATGTTGGATAAATGTTGCCGAATGGAATCTGATCTGTTTTAATCTCTGCTATGAATATAATCTCCTGAAGGCGATAGCATTGTTGTGTATTTTTAATAGTGGAGGAAGCCTGCTCCTAAGTTTTGCTTCCTCTGTTACAGTCTGTAGAGCATAATGATGAAAATGGAAGAAATTATGAAAATGGAATTTAAAAAAATAACATTTTAAAATACTTATTAAAAGGGTTTTTTTTTTAATATTTAAAAAACCCCTCAGATTATCCCTCTCTTTTTAACATAGGGCAGGGAAGTTTGCCTAAGTAGGCAAACTGTGTTCCAGTAGGTCAGTCCTGACAGTGAATATTTGCTTTACCAGTAAAGAGGTTGATCGTTTTTCTTCTTCTCTGTATTGTTTAGTTCTAGGCTTCTTATTTGAGTATATGTTGTTATGGATTTGATTGAGCTGCTGCCCACTGTGTGTAATGTGAGGTTTTTTGAGGTGTATCACCTCAAAATGAAACTAACAATACTCTTAAGAGGTCAGTCGCTTTCTAGACTGGCAGACATTCTCACTTAACTGTACTTTTTATTGTATTTCTCCTTAACTATAAACTCCTGGACCATTGGTCACACAAATTCCACTAACATGGCTTCATCATGCACAAACTGAATTTGAGACATAACTCCTTTTGACTTTAATGACAAATAATGAGGTTGTTAATGAAGGGTTGATTTATAAATAAGTCAGATTAATTTATTATAGTCCAGTCTTAGATAGCAGAGAATTATTCTTATTTATCAATTTGTGGGTCAGTCTACATACAGTGAAAATGCAGATCGAATTAAATTTGTATTTTTCTGTAACATCTACACAGGATCTGAAACTAAAGTCTTCATACCCTGTTAATAAAATCTCCAGAAGAGCTTAAGAGAATGATTAGTAAACAATGCTGCAACAATTGTGCTGTATAAACGCTGCTGGGTTTTTCTGTTCAGTTTTTTAGGTGATAGCAGTTGTAACTACAATGAACTAAAATATAACAATGTCTCTTATTATTGGTGAACAAGCTGCCAAAAATGTTTTTATCTGCCCTAAGATAACTGCACATAGCTGCTTTTGTGTTTGGCTTGCTGCAGGGTGGAGGATTTTCTTGAAACTTAGATGTGCTTCTTTTTACAGGAACGTACAGAAAGAAGATCGAGTTCCGATGCTTGATGAGTACAGGGAGTACAAGAAAATCAAAGCCAAACTTAGGCTGCTAGAAGTCCTTATCAGCAAACAAGATTCTTCAAAATCCATTTAAATTGTGTTCCTCCAAACCACTGAATAACATGCTGTTTCCGTGTACTACCACTGTACTTGTTGGGTGCTGGTGTTCATTTGTCACGCGCTGTTGAAAGAATCCGGTTTGTGCACTTTATCGTGGTGCCACTATAACACGTTTGAAGGGTAAGTAGGTCTTGTCTAGAGAGCAAATAAGATTTTTCAGTTCGAGACTGCTCTATCCAACTTTAGCAAACACAGTTTCCATCAAAGTTTTGTAGTACAGATGCATCCATCTTTTTCCAAAACAACCATTTTTTTTTTCCTTTAGCATTCAAGAACTTTGAGACTTTTGTTATTACCAACTTTTTGCATTATTGAAGAAATTATTAATACCATAATGCTACACTGAACTACTCCTCTTCCCTATTTTTTAATTACGAGGGAAAAAAACGTCAGCAAATTAAACGTACAGCTCTTTTTCCTGGAACGTTTTAAAAAACAGACTGAAATTCCTTTCCAAGGACTGCTGTGGAACAACTTTAATTTTTGTTATTCAAAATTGCACCTGTAACTCAGTAATAATTAACATCTATGGAGTTTGCTCATTAGTGGTCACGTTTCCTCCTTGATAAAGATGACAGTGGACAGACCAGAAAGTGACCTTGCTTAGTGTCTTTTAAAACTTGGAAAACTGACAAGTTATATCACACGCTGCCTACAGGACTTACGTTACTGCTGTTCATTTTATCATTTTATTGGTTAATCAGCTAGTGGTGACATGGTGTTTTGTCTGAATTGGATACTGCATCTCCACTTTCGGAAGATTTGAGGAACATAATGAACATTTGGGTGTGTGGGAAAGCTGATGGCGCTCAGACTTGCGTAGCTCCAGCAGAAAAGAGCTGGCTTAGGACAGTTAAAATTCCACTGTACCTGAAATAAGTATGGTATCAAGGGCTAAAATCAGTGTAGTTAATGCACACCACAGGGTGAGCTGTCGGTTTCGAGGGAAAAAATTAACTGCTGTTTATCGCCGTTTTGTTTTACAGTTGGAGAATAATAATAATAATAAGTTACCTAACCCTTATGATATAAGCAAAACAGTTTATGGGCCTTGCATGATTTAGCTTCAGAGTTGAAACTAAATAATGTTTTGAGTATCACATCTGCTGTGCTGAATGATGATTTAGCTACTCGCTTTGTGCTCTGCAACAGCCATCAGCAGCTGGTTTTGATCTGGCAAAATCTTAAGTGTTAATTTTAGCTGGTGCTTTCTCAGTTGTTTTTTTTTTCTGCAGTGTATGGGTTTGATTGTGGCCATGTTTTGCATGCACCTACTCTCACTGCATGTTTTTATGACGGGCTAATGTCAACGTAGCTGTTATTCACACTGCTTTATGAAAGACCAAAAATGAACTTTGTCACAATGTCAGAAATGGCTAGCATGTAACCTCATAGGCTTGCTGTTCTGTCATGAAGCATATGAAATAGGTTGAAAGTAGGATTTTTAGTGCTCAGAGTTCATCTGCGTACTGTAGAATACTTCTTGTTTTGTTTTACTCTGCTTGTAGGCATGTAATTTTGGAATTCACAAAAAAAAGCACTAAAACTATTGAGCACTGGTGGTATGCCTTTTTTTTTTTTGTTGTTTTGTTTTTTAAACTGCAAAATAATCTGGGACCTTAGAGAATTATGAAGTTAAACTAGTCTTGAGACCATTTATCGATTTTATTCAGTTCCATTGTGCAATGTACACTTCAGTTACTTTTCTATCAGTCTGCAAACACGGGTGTATCCAAACATTGAAACTAATGTGTACTGTATAGTGTTGTACATGAATGTTTGTGTTTTATATACCACATGCAAAATGTCAATATGCACTATTTAAATGTTTTAAATAATATATTCCTCCTTTATAATGCTTAAATCTATATGATTCCAATATTTTTATAAGTGAGTGAGTGATCAGACTGGTTCCAATTCAGAATTAACAGCTGCTTTGTGTTTGTTATGCAGTGTTTGGCTGTTTATTCAGTATAGTAGATAAGCATGGCAACAGTTATGCTGCGTGTGTTTTGTGCCATCCTTGTTGAGCAATAAATAAACGGTAGAGCTAGGCATTTTGTGATATAACAGTTTTACTTTGGTAAAAGCAAAACCTATATATCTATATGGATATATAGATATGAAATATATATAACTAAACCAGATATAATTGCATTGCTATGTCTGGTGCTCATTGTATAGACTTTTATAATAAAAGTACCTTAACCTTTATTGTCATATATCTTTGTTTCTCATCATGCTTTCTCCTCCGCTGCCATCTCTCAAAAAAGTGCTGAGTCCTTCGCTATTCCTGGACGTGTTTGTAGTTTCAAGGTGTTGCTGAGGCAGGTCCAAATTCCGCAGCGTGCCAGCAGAGCCACTCGCACTGGCGGTGTCCGACACAGCCCTTGGTGAAGCTGCAGCAGTTTAAGTGTTATTTGGCCTGTTTAGACTCTGCTTCTCAGCAGCCACAGCAAGAAAGTGACCAAATCGGCTCCTGAACTGGCAGCTTGGCTTATGGTGTGATGAGAGCTTCAGTTCCTGCCAGGGTGCCAACCTGCTGTGGGGTGACGCAGGAGCAAACCGTGAGTCTTGCTCATTCCTGTGCCAACAGTGGCAGCTTTGGGAGTAGACGGGGCAGAGAAGCTGATTCAGCCATTACTGGGCTAGTGAATTCACTGCCAGTGAATACACCTTCAGCTGGTGAGCAGTATTTGATTGTGTCTCCATATACATAATGATCTCTTGGCCTTAAAATCAGTATCACAGCAGTCACTGCTGCGTTTGTGGACAGAAAAAGCTGTTATTGCACACGCTTCTGTAAACACAAGATGATGCTTTTCCTCTGGACCAAATAGATATTTTTTTTTTTTTATAGTATATTGATGTAAGTTCACATGAAAAGTGATTGTGCTCTTTCAGTCTGACTCTTCTGTTGTATTTTGTGTAAATCCACCTTTCTTCAGTCTAAGGCCTGGCAGGGGACAGAACAACTCCTGAAGGTGAAGACTCTGCTTGTGGATCCGTAGCAGTGCAGGTGAATGGGAAGAAGAAAAACAAGGAGGAAACAGGGAGAGGAAACAGAAGGCAGCCTTCAGTATGCTCTGTGGGGTGGGACAGAATAACCTTCCTTCTGATCACATCTTTCTTCTGAAGATGGGGGGGAAAGAAAGCACAAATTCTTAGGACACTGGCTTGAAGAATGAACAAGGTTGTTACAGATCTCTTCTTCAGTCCTCCATTTTTCCTTAGCAGCATTTATTCAATGAAGCTTGCTCTGATCAAGATGCTTGTGAGAAGACAAAAATCCCTCAAATAGTGGTTTGGTGGGAACTGTTTAAAATCCATTCACTACAAAGCAATGAACTAAGATTTTAATGAAGGAAAATAACCCTGTGTTAAAAAAACATTAGCCAAAAAGGAGGAGGAACAAGTATTTCTGAGGCTGAAAAAAGCTCAGTGATGCTGGGACAAGCCTCCTTGCTGAAAAAACAGCTCTGAGACAACAGAAGTCTACAGTATTCCAAGCTTTACCTCTGTAAACAGGTTTGCTTGGAGCTTTTACGTGATTGCAGGGCAAGAAGCTTGCTGGGAAAAGTGAGGCAGGCTATAAAGAGGGTTTCCCGTGCCCCAGAGGAGTAGAGCCAAGGATGAGGAATGCTCGAAAGTCTTCTGTGAAGTCCCGGGTAAGTAACTGGGTCTAAGGGTTTGGGGACTTCTTTCTATGAGAGATGTTGCCAGGAGGAGGAAAGGTCAGAGATGCCAAAGGTGCAATACATCTGCTTTCCTGCATGTCAGGCTATTGAATAATCAATTGAGATCATCAGTGACCTGTGTTTTCTGAGACAAGTGGCCTGGGAGACTGCATAGTAACAAGAGCCCTTGGGAAGGGAAGAGGTGGTTTTATTTTAAACTGGTCCCTTTTAGAAGAGAGAGGATGTTCTGGCTTGGCCAGGAGACAGAAGTACAAACTCAGTGAACCTTCACAGGCAAACCAGTACTTGGCTACATCGTGCTGCTGGGCTGAAGTGATCTCTTTCTGGGTCCCTTCAACTGCCCATCTGCTCCCCTCTCCATGAGACAGCTCCTTGACGGCGTGATTGGACGCAGAGAGACCAGAGACCACGTAGTAGTTTGATAGTGCTCTGCAGGACGGAAGATGAGTTTCAGGATACTTTGGAGGCTGCAGGTTGTGCGTCATGTGCGAGCGGAGATGTACAGCTGTAGAACTTCCCTCGGGCAGGGACTGCGGGGTGAAGTGGGGTCTGGCACCCTGGTGATGGCCCTGTGTTTTCTCATGGCATGTTTGGCTGGCATTTGGACATGCACTTTATTTGTTTCTGTGCCTGAGTCCCAGGATTGAACAAGTCTTAATGGCTACTTACAGGCAGATAGCTTCTGGCCTGAACATAACACCTTGTCTCTAAGGCAACGGGTACAAATGGATTTAGGAATAAAAAGGATGTTCTGAACATTCAGGCTGGTGCAAGGGTGCAGCAAATCGCCCTCTAGTGGTTCCAGCTGTTAAGGCTGATCAAAATAAATGATTGATGGATCGATTGCCTGAAAGAATAATGTAGTTTTTTTCTCTGAAGACAACAATGTGGAACAAGAATTGCTGAGAAATAAGCGTTAACTGTGGCAGCAGAGGCACTAGCAAAAGCAAGCGGTCCAGGGAAGCGAGGGCTAATGAACAGTGTGCTGGACTGTGCCCGGCGATTGAGGGTGGCACTGACCTCCGTAGGACCAGAGATGGAGAGCAGGGTACGGAGCAGGCCCAGGGTGCTGCCACCGCTCATGCTCTGCTCTCGGTTACAGGAGCAGGTAGCTTCTAGCTGTGTCACAGCAGCCCCAAAACAAGGCAGGTGAATACCTGCCGTTCAGGCATTCATGGAGACTACCCAGAACCCCAGCAAGGTTGGTCAGTTCTTCTCAGACTTGAAGAAGCACCTGAAACTCTCAGAGAGAAGTCCCAGAAGC